GTATGGATGGATGGATGTATGGATGGATGAATGGATGAATGGATGGATGAATGGATGAATGGATGAATGGATGAATGAATTGATGGATGGATGGATGGATGGATGGATGGATGGATGGAAAAGGGATGAATGGATGGATGAGTGGGTGGAGGGGTGAATTAATGGATGGATGGATGGATGGATGGATGGATGTATGGATGGATGGATAAGGGATGAATGGATGGATGAGTGGGTGGAAGGGTGAATTAATGAATGGATGGATGAACAGATGAATGGATGGATAGATAAATGGATAAATGAATGGAGGGGTGAATGAATAAATGAACTGATGGATGGATAGGGGATGAAAGGATGGATGATGAATGGGATTGTTGATGAACGAATGAATAGATGAGCGAATGGATGGATGCATAGTGGATGGTTAGATGAATGAAAGGTTGGTGGATGGATGGATAAATGGAGAGGCAAATGGATGGATGGATGGATATGTGGATGGACAGACGGCGGATGTATAAATGAATAAAAGGATGGATCGGATTGATGGATGGATAATAAATGGATTAAAAGATGGATGGATGGGTGGATGGACTAATGAATGAATGGATAAAAATCAGCGAATCAGCTACATAAACACACATAGAGCCTCCCATCATATTCAGCAGCATCAACCTGAACATCATTCAAGGTATAAGTACTTACTGACCTTCTGGAGTCTTTTTGATTGATTCGGAATGAAATGTCTGAGGTCAAAATATACTGCTTATCCTATTAAAACTGGCCAGGTTTTCTTTTTATAATGCCACAGTAACGCGATCAATAATGAAAATGCTTCTGAATGTCATGGAAGAGACTCGGGTCCTCATTGAGCCAGCGTTTCAGTAATCCATATGAAACTATAGCAGACCTGTTTTGTTAAATGCCATACCAGTGCCTGCGAAGCAAGAATAACTCACAGCCTTTTCTTCACACTCATGTCACATATGGCTGTAAAGCTCTCAGACATCTCTCAGGCAGGAAATGCATTACTCCCAGAAGTGTAAGACAGAAACACAGGGAAATCAATACTTCGATAATGCAGCAGTATCTGATGTCTATGAGATTTTAATATTCATTTATTATATATTTATTTTCTTCTGCATCCCCAAAATAAACTTTTTGTTCATTCATAAAGATGTCTGTGCTCTCTCACAGTTCTACCGCTAATATATTTGATATTTGAGTTCAGACATTAACTTCTTGTTTACTTATAGAGCTTAAAATATGCCAAAACAACCTATATTAGAATTGTAAATTAAAATACTAACAATAGTAACTTAATAAAACTGAATATTACATGCCATTTGTTTTATTTGTATTTCTTAATTGGTATTTGAATTTCTTAAATTGAATAGTAAACAGCTAAAATTTAAGACCACTGAATTTTTTTAAGGCATATTTTCAAACTTATTTTTTGTTCTGAATTCCTAGACTGCAGATATACAGAAGACCTGTTTTGATATACACGGAACGGCCACTTTAATAGGTACACCTTACTAGTACCGGGTTAGTCCCTCTGTTGCCTTCAGAACTGCCTTAATCCAGATACTGAGATGTTGGTCCATATTGACATGATAGCATCATGCAGTTGCTGCAGATTTGTCGGCTGCACATTCATGATTTGAATCTCCCGTTCCGCCATATCCCACTGGTGCTCTTTTGGTTTGAGTTCTGGTGACTGTGGAGGCCATTTGAGTACAAGAACTCACTGTCATGTTCAAGAAACCAGTCTGAGATGATTCACACTTCATGACAAGGACCGTTATTCTTCTGGAAGTAGCCAGCAGAAGATGGGTACATTGTGGCCATAAAGAGATGGACATGGTCAGCAACAATCCTCAGGTAGGCTGTGTTGTTGACAAGATGCTCAATTAGTACTAATGAGTCCAAAGTGTGCTAAGAAAATATCCCCCACACCAGTACATCACCATCACCACCCTGAACCGTTGATACAAGGCAGCATGCATCCACGCTTTCATGTTGTTGATGCCAAATAATGACCCTACCATCTGAAAGTCGCTGTTGCACCTCATAAAGCACAAATCATTGCAGACTGGTTTCTTGGGCATGGCAATGAGATCACTGTACTCAAATGGCCTCCACAGTCACCAAATCTCAATCCAATAGAGCATATTTGGGATGTGGTGGAACGGGAGATTCACATCATGTGCATCCAAAAAATCTGCAGCAACTGCCTTATGCTATATTGTCAAAATAGACCAAAATCCCAGAGGAATATTTTCAGTACCTTGTTGAATGTATTCCATGAAGAATTAAGCCAGCTCTGATGGCGAAAGGGCCAGTGAGTGTATGTTTTTCATTACAACTACACAGCATGTGTGTTTTGATTGCCCTTCGTGTAATTAATATAACTGAATCATAACAGTTTAATTGATGATTAACAGCAAAGTTTGTACTCTGCTTTTTTCTGAATGTGCAAAAAAGTTATACGTTAAACCTTGTCTTTCCACAGACATTTAATTAATACCAACCCCATCAAGATAATGTAGCATCCATTTTGTTCCCAACATGTGCATAATGCTGATGCAGCTAATAGCAGGAACAAACATCCTGATATTATTTCACTACAATTTTAACAACTGCTGTTGTTATTTCATCGCCAGCCCGGCGAAGTAATCTTATTGCTCTCTTGCAGCAAGTTTGTGTAATTTCAAACCTGCTTTGGTAAAGCAGAAAGCAAAGTATTTGCGAGGTGTAAAGCATCTATTCTCACACATCAAGACCAAGAACAATTTTATTCACGGAGCTTAAAGTTAATAGAGTTCAGGTAAAGCCTTTTGCATGCTACTCTCTCTCACTAGGATTGAACTTGGTGACAACTGCAACCTTTTGTAAATAGAAGAATATGTGAGGACAAAAACAGGTGAGGAGAACAAACAAACAATAAAATAAACTATTTTATCCCCTTTTTTTAAGATTTAATATACGTCTTTTGTGTCTCCAGAATTTGTCTGTAAAGTGTCAGAGCCAGGGATTTCTGTAGCCTTCACATAGATAAGCAGCACAGTGACAGATAAGAATGAAGCAGATCTCCCTTACTACGGTAAAAACTTGTTTGATATGTTTGTTGAGAAATAATTCAAGCCTTTTTGCAACGATGCGTCACACGCAATGTTATAAAAATGTGTGCGCGTGCACACACACATTTAGCTTTTTAGTTTTTGCACGGCAAATGTGACAGGACACGCGTTAATAAACACTGCTGTATGGACATCCAGGTGGGCAAATCTACCTAAAAAAGCCCTTCGAGATGAAGAAGGCATGAAAGTATGGTTTTTATATTTATTTTGGCTCAAAAATAATCTGTTTTGTAATATTTTAACCCTTTATATTTATATCCTATATAAATTCTTATTATATCCTATATATATCCTTAATATTTTCATTCTTTTTCATATGTAAAGATATTTGCGTATTGCTCTAAATCTTGTGTGTATTAAGCAGTGTGTAAGCGAGGCACATAACGAACGTGCTCTGCGCTGGACAATAGACCGGCTTTGTTCTGGTCTATTGAAAAAAACTATTATAGCTTCTCAAACTAGCAACGCGCCAGCAACACAATCTCACCAACACAATCTCACGGCAATTCGTAACTTTTTCATTTAGTGGCTAATTCGTATGAATTCGTACGATCTAATTCGTACAATTTAGTACGATTTGCTTATCCCCCAATGACGGTTGGGGTTAGGGGTGGGGTCAGGTGCCATGCCTCCTTTTTAAAATCGTACCATTTCGTACGACTGAACTCGTTTTCTCGTGAGATCAGGCTGGCAATACACCTCAACACGCCTCCCTTTTTAGACCAGAACACCTACGGGCGCACATATGAGCGCAAATGCATTTGCTATTTAAACAGCGTGGCGCAAAACATCAGAACGACCCTTTGGGCCAAGCTGAAACTAGCAAACAACAGTTGTGTCGTGGCTTGCGCCACATTGCGCCGGGTGTATGATAGGGCCCTATATGTTTATGCACAGGTAGATAATCTTCCCTAACTGAGTTTTCATATACATTGAAGCAACAAAATATAACTAAAAACACATCTCTGTCTGTCTGAATATAATTATAATTAGGGCTATATTTCATCTATGCAGCGTATATATTTTTTGGTGATCCTCAATATGAGAAGTAAAATAGTCAGAGCAAGAAATAATTAGTGTGATCAATGGCATGTCATTTTTTTTTTCTGAGAGCACTGTTTAATCTTTCTTTTGAGTATTGATCTAAATTCCTTTGGGATGAGACTAGTTTACTAGATGAAGTTTACTTAATGTGTTTGTTTCACACACATCCTCTGTGATGTCCAAGCAATACTTTATCTTGAAATAAATTTTAAGGTTTTCATTTTAATATAATTTAGTCCCGTGTTTTTATTATTATTATTATTATTATTATTATTATTATTATTATTATTATTTTATTTTTTTATTTTTTTATTTTTTGCCAGTGAACATGAAAAGTTACATTCCAAATTAAAAGATTTTACGTGGTTAATGAGTTGCAATCCATTCCTCACACACAACTTTCACAAGACTTTAGCCTTGGAAAAGAGTGCAGGTTTCATGTAGACTACATTTATGGCACATTTTATAGTGTTTTATATAAATTTGAGGGTTCAGAGATGTTTAGGTGTAAAAACCTCTAAATTCCACCTGAAATGTTCTTCAAAACTGAGCATTTTTATCAGTCTCATGTGTGTAGCTTCAGTAATTTCACTTTCATGGCAAAGAATATGTTCTTTTTATGGTCATTAAAATGAAATAACCCAGCATAAACATAGAAGTCTGAGAAAAATGCTTAATTTCAGACAGCACTTAGAGTTTTTGTTTTTTTTTTTTGCATCTGAACTGAAGTTAAATCATTACAAGAGAGATCAGAACCTACGCTGTTTTGCTTTTAACAAAAGAAGCATCGAGTATGACCCTCAAAACGAGACTAAGTACTTTTTTTTTTTTACATATTTTAAATATACGATCAAAATCAGTGGAAGGCTTGCAATCATTACATTTCCTCTGTTTGTTTTTATTAAAACAGCAGATGGTTATGAATATCATTCACTTGTATGATTTCTGAATGTGCAAAGAACACATTTTGATTGTGATTTACTTCCTTGGAAGTAAAAACATATTGCAATATCATATGCAAGTTTACATCAGCAATAATAGACTTTGTGATGATTCTACACAGATGTTCACAGTAACAACAGAGATTTTGTTTGAAGTAGCAAATCATTGACCGTTCCAAGTTGTACCCAACATACATTGTATTGAGGTGCAAAAAGTCATTCGTACTGCTAAAATTAATGTATAAACTGTCGCTGTTGCTTGACATTGTATAAACATAACAATTTAATAAAGCAAAAGAGGGGATTTTGCTTACCATATTGATGGTGCTTCTGTGCCACTGATCTCCAGAAAGTCATATCTGTCCTCAAGTTGGAAGTCTGTAAACACTAGGGCAATAGTGTCCCCTGGCTCAGCCAGAATACTCCATGTGCAATCCGCATTGTTCTCATACTCCGAAGGAAAGTGTGGACTTGATATAGTTCCCGTTGTTCCTCGTAATGTCCCACCACATGATCCTTCGGCTGGAGAAAATAGCACAAACGTTTTTAAAAAGATTTGCAATAGTAGAATTAGTAAAACTGTATTAAATATTTAATAAAATGGATCTTTATTTCTATAGTTGTTTTACAATGTAGATTGGGTCAAAGCAGCTTAACATAGAAGTTCAAGAAAATTTAAACTGTGTCGGTACAGTTTTCTATTGGGACTATCCCATTCTCAAGTTGATAGTTGAATACTCCATACTAATACTTTAGCTCAGTGTTTCTCAACTGGTGGGTCGTGATCCAAAAAGTGGGTCGCGGGAACATTTTCAGTGGATCGCGGAATGTGTGTTAAAAAAAAAAAAAAAACAACAAAAGTTACATTTTTTACTTATTTTTGCTTATATCAGACTTTTATTTTGAAATGCGTGTGTGACAACCCTACTGTTTGACATGTGAAATTTCATTTAAATATTGCAACAAATATGTCAAGCGTAAGTAAGACCCCGAATATGTATATGGATATATGGATATATTTATTGACAACAAAAAAGACTTAAAGCCTCAGTGTCATATGTAGTGAGGTGCTCTCATGAGAGCATGAAACCTCCTAAATTAAAACAACATTTAGAAACCAGAAAACATGTTTTATTAACAGTATTTGTCATTTTTACTTTGTAATATTTCTATAATTTGATCCGTTGTGTTAAATGACAACAATAAAATATTGTTTATTTGTAAGTCTTGGTGAATTTCTTATGATTTATCTGTCACTACTTGTTTATGTTAACAAATAAATACAAATTAAGTATAATTCCTAAAATTGTATTATAGTTCCTAAAAATTTGGGTCGCGGCTTGATGACCATGTAAAAATGTGGGTCCCATGGCCAAACCAGTTGAGAACCCCTGCTTTAGCTTACCTTATCTTAATACTACTGTTAGACTTATCTGATATGAATGAATGAATGAATGATTCAATGAATGAATCAATCAATCAATCAACCAATCAATCAACAAAACATTTTGCTCTTCGTATATTTGTGCTATTGCATTTATTTGTGCTAATGTTGTAAACTTGCTATGATAACACAATAATTGAATGGGGTGTTTATAATAATTTCACGACAACTTTATAATCATGATATGGACATAAAAATGAAGATGATGTTATGCATGCATTTGACAACTGTCATTAATGGCTATTCACTCAGTTATGTCATTTTAATTACAAAAGATGACATTGCTTGGGATGGCTTTGTTATGACAACTTGACATAAACAAAGATATGCATAAGTTGACATACACTCAGATCATAACACCCCATGATCCTACACAGCCTATGTTATCCTTGCATACAAACATGGTGTTGAGAATATATTCCAAAAACCCTTTTAAACTACTTTTTAACTTATTGTCCTTGTATGAATTTAGCAACTTACCTCTACAAAATGGTACTGGGAAATCCCACGATGCTCCACTTCCTGGGCTCACTATGCAGGTGAGTACTCCATGCCCCTCTAAAACATATCCCATTACACAACTGTAGCGGATCTTGTCACCAACGTTGTACCTTGTCCCATGGATAATTCCTCTGGGTATCAACCCTGGGTTTCCACATGTGTGACTTGGCAGAACTGAAACAGAAGACAAAAATCAATCAATCAATCAATCAATAAATCAATCAATCAATCAATCAAAGTCAAAATTAAGTTTTCGTGTCATGCTAGGCTTTTGATTGTCCGTATGCTTTCATTATGTTACCCAGACTCTTGAGATGTCTGTGTGAGTGGAAGTCTTCTCTATGAAGCATACATCTCTGAAGCTAGCCCAGCACTTGTACATGAAATTGTGGAGAATCCCCTACCAGTTAGTTGTGTTTCTGTGATCATGATGCAGTTTGAAGTTAAAAATTCCATGTTAACACAAATCACAACATAATTGTGCCCTGCTCTACCTTGTGAAACATTCAAACAGAATCCATACAAACCAAGTGAAAAAAAAATGTCTGCCTCTCTGTCATTAAATAAATCCGACCAACTAACCAACCATCCACTCATCCATCCATCCATCCATCCATCCATCCAACCCACCAACTATCCAACCAACCTTCCATCCAACCAAACAATCATCCAATCAACCAACCAACCAACCAACCAACCATCCAACCATCCACCCAACCAACCATGCATCCAGCAAACCAACCAACCAACCAAACAAACAAACAATCCAATCCAATCCAATCTAGATACACTTATCTGCATGTCTGCATAACTCAGATTTTAAAGTTCAGTAGATGGAAATGGCCATACTGTAAGCGTTAAACACCATTGTTTCCTTGTTATTGAGTAAATCTCAAGAACGTAAAACCCCAGTGAAAAATAAAGCTTATGAGAACAAAACATGGACTTACTACGGACACATGACTATTAATTAATACGCCCTCAAAATTTGCATGAAGTTTAAGTCAAGTTCTTTATCAGACATTTCGTAGCCAAAAAAAAAGACTGTTGCCTTATTTTTACATTTAGCTTAGCTCATATAGAATATTTACTATGTATTGGGACTTTTATTGTGAAACCGGGAGATGAAGGGTGTCCAATAAAGCCACACTTCACTGATTGCTTTCTTTGCATTGTGCATTGTGTAGAGGATAGATCTCCTTAGTGTATCCCTAATGTTATTCCCAATATGATCTGTCAGCAAAACATAAGTAAAATCAAAAGGGTGTGTATGTAGACAGACTAAGGTAAACAACACAGCTTGTTTTATCTGATCAGACTTGTTTCCAGGAAGACTGTATTGCTGCACACTCGACTCCAGGAAATCTTGTATATGTGTAAGTATTGACAGCAATATACTTCTGCTGTGTGATTACTGCCTACTTACCCTTGCTACAAAAGATATCATGTTGCAGACTGATAAAAAAAACAGTGATGAATCTACTGGAACTACATGTGTTTAATGCTTTTATTGCACACTTTGGCCTCTATTTTAACAATGTAGACACAAAGTCTAAAGCGCATGGCGCAAAAGCATTAAGGGCATGTCCGAGTCCACTTTTGCTATTTCAACGATGGAAAAATACGCTCCGGCGCATGGTTTAACAAGGTTGTGCTTATTCTCTTAATGAGTTTCGAGTATAACGTACAATAAACAATCAAAGTCTCGTCTCCCATTCCCGTTAAGAGTCAGTTGGATCGCTCCATGATGCATTTGCTATTTACATGGCAGACTTTGTAAGAGAAAAAACTGAATGCTTCTCTAGTGAGAAAACAGTTTAACAGCCAATGTAGCAGAAAGATAAAGAACGAGCCTCTTTACTTTTTCTTTATTTTACTTTAACTTGTTACTTTATTCCATTTACTGTACTCCACTTTCGTGGAATAAGGGAACGGTGTTGTACTCACTCCACTGAAGACATCCATTAGTCGACATATTTAATTTAGTTTAAGTGCAAAAACTGTAATTTAATTTAATTAAATCTAATTTCCAACAAATGAATGAATGGACAATAATAACAAAGTGTGGTCAAAAAACTGAGTTATTTATAAACACACGTCCTGTTCTTATGCCCCACATGGTGATGCATACGTTTCCAAAACCTGACAGGTGGACAAATCTAAACTTGTTTTTATTAAAACAAATATATGAATACATTTAATAAATTATACTGCTAATCATAATAACGTTATACAAATGCAAATTGTCATGATTAAACTAAAAAAAAAGCTCCCCGACATGAAGAAGACATGGACGTCATTTTTTTATATATTTATGTAGAAAATAATAATTTTGTAATATTTTAATTCTTTAATTTTATTCACATGTAAAGATGTTTGTGTATTGCTGTACATCCTTTGTATATTAAGCAATGTGTACACATTTTGGACATTCATAGGTGATCTCTGCGCTGGACTAGACCAGGTTTAAGTTGGTCAACGGCGTGGCGCCTATTTCAGTTCTTCAAAAGAGCAATACGCCAACAATATGCCTTGAAACACCTCTTTTTTAGATCAGAACACACATAAGTCAACAAAATGGTGCATATGGATTTGCTATTTAAACAACATGTCCCAAAACATGAAATTAGGATTGCGCTGGTCTCAAAATAGCAACAATTCGCGCCAATTACGTCTTGCACCTTGTAAGATAGGGCCCTTTGAAGCCAATCAGAATGTGGTATTTAGTCAAACCATGGTACAATTTAAATTCTAAAATTCCAAAATTTAATTATTACAATGCATAGATGTATACTTATTGTTTGGGTTTGTGTTATATACAATAGGCCAAACAGTTACTGGTTGTTGCCCCACTGTCACAGTTTTCTGGTTATGTATGTATGTATGTATGCATATACTGTGTGCATCTATCTATCTATCTATCTATCTATCTATCTATCTATCTATCTATCTATCTATCTATCTATCTATCTATCTATCTATCTATCTATCTATCTATCTATCTATCTATCTATCTGTCTGTCTGTCTGTCTGTCTGTCTGTCTGTCTGTCTGTCTGTCTGTCTGTCTGTCTGTCTATCTCTCTATCTAGTCTGTGTATCTATCTAGTCTGTGTATCTATCTATCTATCTATCTATCTATCTATCTATCTATCTATCTATCTATCTATCTATCTATCTATCTATCTATCTATCTATCTATCTATCTATCTATCTATCTATCTATCTATCTATCTATCTATCTATCTATCTAGTCTGTGTATCTATCTATCTATCTATCTATCTATCTATCTATCTATCTGTCTGTCTGTCTGTCTGTCTGTCTGTCTGTCTGTCTGTCTGTCTGTCTGTCTGTCTGTCTGTCTGTCTGTCTGTCTATCTATCTATCTCTCTATCTAGTCTGTGTATCTATCTAGTCTGTGTATCTATCTATCTATCTATCTATCTATCTATCTATCTATCTATCTATCTATCTATCTATCTATATATCTATCTATCTATCTATCTATCTATCTATCTATCTATCTATCTATCTATCTATCTATCTATCTATCTATCTATCTATCTATCTATCTATCTATCTATCTATCTATCTATCTATCTATCTATCTATGAATGTATATAAGTGTTCCATACTCTGATACAAACATGCATATACAGTTGAAGTCAGAAGCATTAGCCCAACTGTATATTTTTTCCACAATTTCTGTTTAACGGAGAGAATATTTCTTCAACACATTTCTAAACATAATAGTTTTAAAAACTTATTTCTAATAACTGATTTATTTTATCTTTTCCATGATGACAGTAAATAATATTTTACAAGACAGTTATATACAGCTTTAACTAGGTTAACTAGGCAGTTTGGGGTAATTAGGCAAGTTATTGTATAACTGAGGTTTGTTCTGTAGACTATCAGAAAACATCTAGCTTAAAGGGGCTAATAATTTCGACCTTAAAATGGTGTTTAATAAATTAAAAACTGCTTTTATTCTAGCCAAAATAAAACAAATAAGACTTTCTTCAGAAGAAAAAATATATCAGGCATAATGTGAAAATTTCTTTTCTCTGTTAAAAATCATTTGAGAAATATTTAAAAAAAGAAAAAAATTTAAAGGGGGGCTAATAATTCTGACTTCAACTGTATATTATGAAAAACGTATTAACTAAAGTAATGAAGTAATAATACAGACTTAAGTCTACTAAATGCTATAAAAACTACTGAAATACACAATAGTGTAATTTGATTAACGTTCTTCTGAGACTCTGCTAACTTTCATAAGCTTTATGAGTCATGGGAGTGTTCTTGAAGAAGCCATTTCTATTTTTAAAGAAATCATTGTGATCCTCCGAATATGAGAGGTGCCTGGAGGAATGGGCGTAGATGTTATATAACCCCTGTGGCAACTTACACAGCTAAATCTAGAGCTGACATTTAAGAGCTGAATGTTGATTCAGATGCATTCACTGATAAAAACTGCTGCAGACTGTCTTGTAGGATTCAGTCAATTGTGGCAGATTTAGATCTTAACTGGATATGATGGTAATGATATTAATGATAATTTAACAAACATACACACATGCATACATATGCAGACACATAAAATGAGCTGACTATACCACCAGACAAAAGTCTTGTCATAGATTCCAGTCCGCATGGACCTAAGATTCTCAAAGAAATCCGTCAAGTTAGGTGAAAGAAAAATCATGGTTTGGGGTTACATTCAGTATGTGGGGTAAGAGACATCTGCAGAGTGGATGGAAACCTCTACATTAAAGTTCCAGAAAGCAAAGAGGGTCAGTGTGCTCCAGGATTGGCCAGCCCAATCACCAGATATGAACATTATTGAGCATGTCTGGGGTAAGATGAAGCAGGAGGCAGTGAAGATTAATCCAAAGAATCTTGATGAACTCTGGGAGTCCTGCAAGAACGCTTTCTTTGCCATTCCAGATGACTTTATTAAGTTATTTGAATCATTGCAGAGATGGATGCAGTCCCTCAAGAAAACATAAGTTATGTTATTGAGACCTGAACCACGCAATTGCTCAGCTGAACAATAAATTATGTATGTAAGGTGTGTATAAATCAAAAAAATCTGCTAAAAAAAAAAAAAATCTTAATTGAGTGAGGGTTTTTTTTCCCTTCTTTTTCCCCTCAAGCGCTCAATGAGGTCCA